ATCAGACTCAGTGATGTTGTCAGTTTTTGACCGCCAGTAGGAAATGATAAAGATACTGAAAAACAGCCATCAAAGTGTTTCAGCTTTGAAAGCCAGTATAAAAAGCAGCATTTGAATCTTTTGACTTACAGTTTTCAAAGTTAAACAACCTTTTATTAAGAGCATCACGTTGCCGCTGGGTATCTTGCAGTTGGCGCTTAAGTTCCTCAATTTCCTGTTCGAGTTTATGAATCTTCTTTGTTTCGACAATATGTTATCGTCCTGTTATAGACTTCGAATGACATTATCGAAACAATCACTTTGTGCGCTTTCAACACAAAATGGCACCAATTATTCTGTACTGCACCCATTAGTTCATAAAGTACCACAACAAAGGGGCTTTTTCGGCTTTAACTAGATCCATATTTTTATAAGGAAACTTAACGTGAGTGATAATGGGTCTAAAAAGGTGCCAAAATATTTTAACAGTATCAAGTGATCGTGCAAGTTACAGATTGTAGTTAAAAGTGTTTCACTGCACCATTAGAAGATGAGAATTCTAGAATGGGTTTTTTAAAATTGAGAAGGTGTGTATATTTTTTGTTTTTTTATTTTCATATTGGTTAAAACTGTAAAGAGAAAGACATAAGGTTGTCAAGAGGTGATCCATATAGCTTATATTGAAACTAGATGCTTATAATACCAAACGTTTCTTCAAATATTCAATAATTTCATGAGGTAGAGGCTCTAAATGGGGTTAACCGTTCACCATGAAACGGGAAACATTTAGCCGTGAGACGTAAACTGATTGACCAATTTCAACAATTGTTCGTAAAAAGTCAACTCAAAAAGTCTTAATTCAATCGCAACGAAAATAAATTAACCATTAGCAACGAAATTTCCAAAATTTCAAACCGTTAGCCGTAAGAGCCATCACCCTGTTGAGACCATCAAAGTACTTATTCTAATCAAGAGCAAATTAATATTGCAGGAAACTTTTTCCTCAATTCTGACACATATAAGTATGAGTGGCCGTGGTGTTTTAATAAACTTAGAGGTATGCTGATCAAAAGGTGGAAGCAGACATTGCTGAGCAGTATGAATAGAAATTTACTTCAAACTAATATTGTGTAGAATTGTCTGATGTAAAGATTGCTCTGTTGTTGGATAAAACGTTGTGTTTCCTACTTTGTACGGTTCCAAAACCCTCACTCTCCGCTCCCGTGGTACGCAAATTCTACGGCTTTAAAACAATTCATTTTAAAATGAAAAAACTCTAAAAGTGTTGCAAAGTTTTTGCTGCCGTTATCGAATGGCTCTGGCACGACTCAGATTC